AATTCAAGAAGATTGAAATCATAAAAAGCATCTTCTCAGACAACCATGGCATAATATTAGAAATAAACTACAATAAAAACATCCCAAAATACTCAAAAAAAAGAAAGAAAGAAAGAAAGAAAGAAAGAAAGAAAGAAAGAAAGAAAGAAAGAAAGAAAGAAAGAAAATTGATAAGGAGCAGCAGTAAAACAATACAAGAAAGTAGATATAACCCAAATATCCAGAACTGAACTACTGCATTTTGCCTCACTACCCTTAAAAGCCAGGTATGCCTGACTCTCAAACCTATATCAGTATTAAGATTAAGAAACAGTTCTTTTCAAAAATGTGTTCTGCATGTTGAAAAAGGGGAAGGTCATTTTCACTCTGAGCAGCAACCTGGGGTTGGAGAGAGAATGAATGGGATGGGACAGACAGCCCTCTTAAATCCAAGCCCTAAGATTCCTATTAGCATTTAAGAGCATAGAAAGCCTTGATATCATTATGAAATAGTATATCTAATCCTTACCATTAATAACTGGTGTGTAAACAACAATTCCAACCAAGTTTGGATCAGATACAGTTGTGTCCAGAATAAGGCCTCCAATGCTGAAAGATACAAAATCATATAATTTAGGGAAGAGGAAAGGAAATGTACTAATTTGAAGCTGTTCTTTATATACAAACACTTCTACTTTTAAAAATAAAATAATTAGCCTGAGCCTGGCTGGAGTCGCTCAGTGGTTGAGTGTCAACCCAGGAAGCAAGAGGTCACAGGTTTGATTCCCGGTCAGGGCACATGCCCAGGTTGCGGGCTTTATCCCCAATAGGGGACATGCAGAAGGCAGCCGATTGATGAAGTTTCTCTCTCATCGATGTTTCTATCTCTCTATTCCTCTCTCTTCCTCTCTCTCTCTAAATTTCAATAAGAACATATTTTTAAAAAGAAGAGATTGTTTTTAAAAATAAAATAATTAGACATTAAAAAATAGATAAAATATATTCAAGGTAAAAATCAATGTCAATCACAAATCTTGAAAATAAAACATGATATAAGCTATAGCCCCACATTTCAGGGCTCTCTTTCTGATCTCCAAGATAAGTTACTTGTAAAAAGGAAAGTATATGCTTTAAGTGCATATACAATGAACACTTGAAAAAAAAATTTAAAAATATTTTTGTTGCCCAGATAATATAACTTGTTATAGAAAATATAAATAAAAAGAAAATAAAAATCAACCATAGTTACATCACTCAGAGTTACACTGTTAGCATGTTAGTAAATACCCTCCCCAGACATTTTAAAATGTGTATATGTTTAAAAATAAAAACCCAAATTGTAAAAGTATTTTCTTTCACTTTTATTAAATTTTATTTCTAGCATGCCCTAACCGGTTTGGCTCAGTGGACAGAGTGTCAGCCTGTGGACTGAAGGGTCCTCGGTTCAATTCCTGTCAAGGACACATGCCCAGGTTGCAGGTTCCTCGCTGGCCCGGGCCTTGGTCAGGTGCATGCAGGAGGCAACCAATTGATGTGTCTCTCTCACATCGATGTTTCTCTGTCTTTCCCTCTCTCTTTCCGTCTCCCTAAAAATCAATGGAAAAATATCCTCTGGTGAAGATAAAAAAAAAATTATTTCTAGCAAACAAACACATGAGCATTATTTAAAAAGTGAAAGTACCACAAAGCTTATAAAATAGTCCCTGGTCCCACCCCCCAGATCCTGCCTTCCACTACCAATTCTTTTCAACGTCGTTAGCTGTTTCTCCTGGCATTTAATTCTGTATTTCTAAATAACACATTTTCCCTACTATTTCTTAACCTATAATTTTAAACATTTCCCTAACAGCATCCACTGTGGCAGATGGAGGATTTAATCTCACTCTTCCCTCCTCACTTTAGTCCCTTCACAATTCTCTTCCTCTCTCTATTCTGACAGTCTGGTTATCATTTTTGGTGAAACATTTAGAGTTTATTTTATTATAACAATGGGATCATAATTCACAACTGAAATACACAGCATCTTGTTAGATTTCCTCACTTGTACTGTTTGCTTTGTCTCATATTTTTCTTAAATTTTTTAGCTGTTTATTACTAATTCAGCCTCAAATTAGTAGCGAAGTTAATGAAATGCCCCTGATTACAGTCAAGCTCATCCGGCAGGTAATCAATCGATTCCACTTTCTTTCTTCTTAGAGACATTCCTCCTGAAGCCCACTGTTCTCCCGATAGCCGGGGCAGTTGCTCTCTAGGCCTGGTGCATGGCTGGCATCCCTACCTACCCTTCAATCGCCCCATGAGGAGGCTTAGTCTATGACTGTGACCAACTCCCAGCATTTCACAGGATCCTGTTGCCTGAATCCTCCCGGAAAAAAACAACTTACATTACAGAAAAACAAACCACATGCTATCCTCATTTCTATGTCGTCTTATTTCTTAGTTCCTTATTTTGATAAAATTGTCTTTTGTCAACGTTTATATGAAAGGGCCTATGGGAAACCAATATACTGAAATCCTGTGTGTCTGAAAACTTCATGAGTCTGTCCTTACGTTTGGTTGATACTGAGACCGTATTTTATGTTCAAAACATTATCCCTCAGAATTTTGGAGGAATCGCTTCTGGTGTTGCTAGTGGGCATCATTTTGATTGCCAATCCTTTGTATGCAACTTGTTTTCATTCCAGAAGCTTTGGAGATTTTATGATGACATGCTTTGATGTGGGCCCCTCCTGCTCCAACTCATGGTGCTGGACGCTTAGTGGCCCCTTTTAATCAGGAAGCCCGTGTTCTTCCGTTCTGGGGAATTTCCTTATGTTATTTCTTTGATAATTTCCTTTCCTTATTGTTTGCCTCCAATTGTCTACCTCTCTGTTCTCTGTTCTATTTTCCAGGATGATTCTACCTTCTTACTATTCTACTGATTTTGTTTCTGGTATTTGTATATTTCTGAATTCCAAGAGCTCTTCCTGTGTGTTTTTTTTTCAATCCTCCTCTGAAATCATTCTGTTCTTACAGAATTGTGGATGCCACCGCTTCTCTTATTTCTCTGAGGACATCGGAGATAGTTTTTTGAGGTTTTTCAACTCTCTCCCACTGGTTCTCAACCTTCCTAATGCCGCGACCCTGTAATACAGTTTCTCATGTTGTGGTGACCCCAATCATAAAATTATTTTTGTTGCTACTTCATAACTGTAATTTTGCTACTGTTATGAATCGTAATGTAAATATCTGATATGCTATATGTGATTTCCGATGGTCGCAACCCACAGGTTGAGAACTGCTGCTAGACTTCCTTTGAGTACCATTTTTTTTGTCTCCGTCTTTCATGTTAGAAGTCTTAATCAAATGTCTGATGAAGGGCTACCCCTCCTTATAGGGCACAAGAGAAAGCACACTTGGAGCTCTGTGTGCCTGGGCAGAGCTGGTCAGCAGGTGGGCCTCACTGAACAATGGTCAGGTGGGCATGCAGCTCCTTCACCAAAAGACCTGCAAGGTCAATACATACAGGCTTTCTGTTGAGCTGAAGACCTCCCCGGGAAAGACAGGATCTGATTTCTTGCCTGGAGCTGTAAGCTGGACGGCCAGCTGGTGCTTCTGAATCTGGAGCCTCTCCCATTTAGTCTCTCCAAAGTGAATTCCTGTCTTCTGCTAAGGTGGGAGGGGCAGCTACCTGGGTGGTCAGACTAGAGAAGAGCTGTTGGGACCTTCAGCCGTGGGCAAACTATGGCCCGAGGGCCGGATCCGGCCAGTTTGAAATGAATAAAACTTTAAAAAAAAGACAGTACCCTTTTATGTAATGATGTTTACTTTGAATTTATATTAGTTCACACAAACACTCCATCCATGCTTTTGTTCCGGCCCTCCGGTCCAGTTTAAGAACCCATTGTGGCCCTCGAGTCAAAAAGTTTGCCCACCCTTGAGTCCTAACTGCTTCTTACACACACTGCCCACCACTCTTCCTTTCAGCTTTCGGAAGTACTCACGGCCCTAATGCCTCCACCTGTCTGGGTTCCTGAGGCTCAGATCGGGGCGATGCCTCTGGGTGCTCCCCCTGCTGGCGGCTGGGTTTTAGCTTTTTCCGTTCTGTTAACAACTATCCACCTGATTCCTATCTTACGAATTTCTTACTTGCTGTCCTCTCTGTTCTCCTTCTCTTTGTAGTTTTTTTTAGCTTTTTATCTTTTTATTGTCATTTTGGTAGTTTTAGGAAGGAAGATAAGCACGTCAATCTACCATGTTTAACAGGAAATTGATACCCATTTCTAGCTGACTCTTCTCACCAAGGGTATAATGAACACCTTTCCTCGTCAAAGACTTATAACAATGCTATTTTTAATGGCTGACTGATACTCCTTTTTGTGACTGCATCACACTTCATTTGATCAATATCTGACTGCTAGGCCTCTAAGGTATTCTTTCTTTCTATTCTTTCTTTCGTTAAAAATTCCACGGTGATTAGGGTCCTTGGAACTAAATCTGTTGCATATATCCTTAATTATATCCTTAAGTCCTGTCAGAGGCCTAGAGGTGGAAATAGTTGAATGGCATACACATTTCTAAGGCTTTCTGATACCTGTCTGAGCAATTTACTATGAAAAACAAGTAATGTTCTTGTCAGGTTACAACACACACACACAAAAACATACCCACACATACAAAGACAAACACCACTAAATTTCACTCAGCAATCTGGTAAAGATTTGGTTGGAGAGAAGTTTACAACTGGTAGCCAAATGAGGTTCTCTATATCTACTGATTTCTGTAATTTCTATCACATATATCCATTATCACTTTGGATAATAAAGAATTGACCCAATATACATAATATAATTGACCCAAGAAATAAAACAGGCAATCGATTTGTTTTAATGTACACATAGATACAGGCACATAGATTGTATGCGTGCACGCGCGCATGTGCACACACACACACACACATGCACAACATTTAATACTAACCTACTTATAACCATAGCGGTTATGACAGGCTCCCAGCCCGAGTGGAGCACTGTCCTGGTGGCTGGATGTTTGGCTGCTACTATAATCCAGATAGGAGTTAGAGCCAAGAAAAAGACACCAACCAACGGAGAAATGTAGTAATAATTCTCTAAAATTGAAAAAGAGACAGCATTTCAGTATCTGTTCTAACCATGTAGCGAATATTAAAAATTTACCAGAAGGTATGTTATCAAACATATTCACAGGCTATTTATTTTCTACAAATTTCAAACAACTTTAAAACTGTAGATAAAGTGCCCAGCCCAAATGGCTCAGTGATCGAGCATCCACCTATGAACTAGGAGGTCACGGTTCGATTCCCGGTCAGGGTACATGCCTGAGTAGCAGGCACAATCCCCAGTGTGGGGCGCACAAGAGGCAGCTGATCAATGATTCTCTCTCATCATTGATATTTTTCTCTTTCTCTCCCTCTACATTCTTTTCTCTGAAATCAGTAAAAATATATTTAAAATAAATAAAACTGTAGATAAGATAAAAATATTAATGTAACTGAAAACTAATACATTAATTGAGCAAACATTTATTGAAATGCCTATGTGACCTAGCAATAATAGGATGGGAAGAGCAATAATAATAATAGGATGGGAACAGCAATAATAATAATAATATAACAATTAAAACAACAAGAGTAAAAAAGCCAACATTTATTTGGCTCCTACTATTAACCAAGCATTGTGGGAAATGCTTTATATTCATCGACTCGTTTAATTGCCCTCACAAGTATGAGGAGAACACTGTCATTCTTTTTTTTCTATTAAATTTATTGGGGTGACATTGGTCAACATACACACACAGGTTTCAGGTGTGGGTTTCTATGTTGTAAGATATGTATGTCATTTCTATTTAATAACAAACTGAGGCTTAAGAGTTTATAGGATAGAAAACTGGAAAAGAGGAAGCTATCAGAGAAAGAGCTTGAGAACTGACTATCAAGCCTTAGTGTGAACTCCACAAGGCTAGGCCAAGAATAACTGGGGATTTGTCACTCAAGACCTACCCCCCTTTAGAGGAGAGGCCTCTTTGAACACCGAGAACATCCAGTAGACCCAAGAAGGGTAACAGAGCTAGCCCCAGTGTCAGGTGTGCTGTAGCTTCTCCCCAGTCAAACTCAGAACCACGCCTATGAGGCTCAAGCTAATCCACAAATAACAGCCCACAAGAACAAAGTCCAATACTTTGCGAAGAAAAAAATCGAGCATGTTAACAATATTACATTCACAATGTCAAGCATCCAACCAAAGATTACTTTTAAGAGTTTGGGATAATATTTGGTAGCATTTACAAGCTTCGTTAAATACACTGAGACATCCTACTTCCGTTAGACATGTCACCAGTCTCATAAAAGTATCCAAGTACTTATACTAATCTTTATAAAGCTAATAAATTAAATGTACAAATACAATGAGTCTTAAATTTTCATAAATATATATATATAAATATATGCACACAAATTTGGTAAGATTTTGATATAAAAACCACAAAAATAGGTCAATTACTTAATTATGAATTTAAAAAGGGAATTAGAAGACTGACATGTTACTCCAATGGGCTAAGTTAACAAGTGCACACACACAAAAAAATATGTACTGCTTCATTAGCATAAAACCATTAAACCCATGAGTCGAATTCTCAAATATTTTTATATTTAAATCTCCCTAAGTTTAAAAAAATTGCCTGTCTCTTCTTGAAACAGTTACATCATTCCAGGACATTTTGGTTATATCATTTTAACTAATGGAGGTTTTATTATTATCAGAGATTACTATCAGCCAGGGCATTCTGGATTCTTCTCAGTGACTCTAATACTTATTTTGTATAGGAGAGACTTTATAACTTAAAGACAATTGATCTCATAGTCCTTGTAGCCTTAGATTTAAGTTAAATGTTACTAAATTTTCCTGACATCTCACAAAATTCTTCAACCCTATTCATATTATCTTTCACTGAATTTTGTATTTCTTCATCTTCCTAACATATTTACAGAACTTCTCACCTATGCCTAAAGATATTTCAAACTAGATAAAAACTCAAACTCTTTTCTATCAGGAAAGAACACCTTACTATAGATATTAAAATAATATCCAAACAACTTTATTCTTGCGGCTTTATCTGATCTTCCATCACATCTTCAAAATAATTATACCCACAAAATTCATTGAAAGATTTTCTTCCATTTAAGGGACTTTGACTAACCCTACACATAGTTTCATTTTTTTCTCTATGATTTTTAAAAAATGAAAAAAAACCTGTATTGAATAGATTCCCAGTTCTCCTTTTTTAAACCACTAGATAAGGGGGAAAAAAACCCATCCTAATTAGGAAGCATTCTTACCTCCTAAAACAAGCAAGGTTGCCAACAATCTCTTTATAAGGTTAAACAGAAACGAAAAGCATTAAAATCCATTAAACACAATTGAAAACTATTTTGCTAGGTCAGATCATCTTAATATTTCATTTCCAGGTCAATAGAGGAGCACCATGCCAGGCTTTTAAGTTATTCTCAACATTAAATCTCTGGAAGGTCATCTGAAGTTGAAAAAAAAAAAAACACAACACCCATCCCAACCCTTGAATCACTGCCCTGAATTTTCAAAGACAAGAAAACATTTCTCGGAATAAAACTAAAAATAATGAGTGCAGTTCCTCAAAAACTTAACCAGAGTTATCATATGACTTTCTGTCATATGTGTCAAGAGAACTGAAAATATATGGTCGTGCAAAAGTGTACAAGAACGTTCATAGCAGCACATTCATAAGAGCCAAAAAGTGGAAGCAGTTCAAATGGCCATCAAATGATGAATGGATGACAAGCAAAATGTGCTATATTCATACAATGGAATGATGTGAATCCATACAATGGGGTATCACTCAGTACTGATTCGTGCTACAACACAGATGAACCTTAAAAACGTTCTACTTTGAAAAAACAGCCAGACATTAAAGGTCACCTATTGTATGGTTCCATTTCTTGAAATGTCTAAAATAGGCAAATCCACAGAGACAGAAAGTAGATGCTGGTGCCAGGGAATGGGGGAAGGATACAATGGGAGTGACTGCTAAAGGTTTCTTTTTGCCGTGATAAAAATGTCCTGGAATTAGACAACAGGCTGCACAATCTGATGAATGTACAAAACCCCACCAAACTGCATACTTTTAAAAGGCGAACTGTATGGTATCTGAATTATTATCACATTTTTTAAAAAATTCCAACAATAGCCCTGGCCAGTGTGACTCAGTTGGTTGAGTATCATCTCATGCACCAAAAGGTTGCTGGTTCAATTCCCAGTCAGGGCACATGCCTGGGTTGTGGGCTGGATCCCGGGGAGTGGGTATGCAGGAGGCAGTTGATCAATGTTTTTGCTCTCACATCAGTGTTTCTCTCTTCTCCTCCCTTCCTCTCTCTCTCTAAAAATCAATTTAAAATAAAAAAATAAATTGCCACCTATTTTTTTTAATTCCAACAATTATTTTTAAAAAAGGAGGGGAGACTATATTTTTCAAAATTGCCAATGTCATAAAAGATAAATGTACAGTATATACATTTGTACATACGTAACATTGAGAAAAAGAAAGGAAAAAAGAGAAAGCAAATGGGGTAAAACGTTAAAATTAGTTGAGTCAGGATTCAGAATATACAGGTGCTTTTTTGTACTCTTTTATTTTTGCAACTATTTTATACATTTGAAATTATCTCCAAATAAAAATTTTTTAAACACTAAAAAAAAAAAGAGTGGGAAAACCATGATAAAATAAAAGTAACTGATTTACTGTAAATGTGTTCTATTTCAATTTCCTAACAAATCTAACACACCCATTCCCATCAAATTAGATCATATGTATAATTGCATAGGATTCTCCTTCCTTTTCCTTGGGTAACTTCTAATCCAATTCTGATAACTAGGGAAAAATTACAAATATAGAAAAAAGGAAGTGCTAAAATAGTCCTCTTTTTAGGATATATTGGTGTCTCATAGGTGTCACAAAATTGAAGAATTACTTTTAGAAAACCACTAATGGCACAATCAGCAAGAGAAAAGGGTCAATTCAAAGCCAACCATTGCCCTGGCCAGCGTTGCTCAGTCATTAGAGTGTTAGCCTGCACCTTGAGGCTTCTCTCGTTCCCTCTGTCTTCCCCTGCCCACTCCCTTCCACTCTCTCTAAAAATAAATCAATGGAAAAAAATATCCTCACTCCTCGGGTAAGGATTAAAAAAAAAAAAAAGCCCAACCATTATCCAATTCTAGAGATTTCCCCACTTTGCTTCCTCCTGCCTCCTTAATCTACCACCAAGGGATTTCATGTACCTTCCTTATGTTTCTGTCCTTTGATTCTAAATGCATAAAAGGAATTCAAAATGCCACTCTCCAGAGCATCTTCTCAATTATTTAAGATCTTGCTTCTGGGCATGTCCTCAAAAACTTGGCTCAGCCCTAATCGGTTTGGCTCAGTAGATAGAGCATCGGTCTGTGGACTGAAGGGTCCCGGGTTCAATTCCAGTCAAGGGCATGTACCTTGGTTGCAGACACATCCCCAGTAGGAGGTGTGCAGGAGGCAGCTGATCCATGTTTCTCTCTCATCGATGTTTTTAACTCTCTATCCCTCTCCCTTCCTCTCTGTAAAAAAAAATGAATAAAATATATATTTTTTTAAAAACTTGGCTCAAATAAATGCCTATACAACTTTCTTTAAAAGCTAACCATGAACTCCTGCATTGATATCAAAATCTAAAAGAATGGCTTCCTCCTAAATAAAATATCTATTTAAATTTCCCTAATCGAAATAACATTTGGTATTCATTTCTGGGTACTGTGGTAGGCTGTGTAAGGGCCCTCAACGACATCCGCACCGTAAATTAAACCCCAAATTTTTAATATTACTTTATACAGCAAAATCCTTCCAACGTCAAGGGTTGTGAAACGGGGAGGTCATCCTGAATTACTTGGGTGAACCATAAATGTGATCACAGGTGCACTGATAGGTGAGAAATAGAAGGAGATTTGACTACAAAAGAGAAAGCAATGGAACCACAGAAGCAGGGATGGAGCGATGCGATGATAAGCCAAGGAATGCTGGCAGCCCCCGGAAGAT